CAAAGGCATTGCCTACTACCCTAAATATACTGAACTATACTGAACTATAAGGGATACACCTGCTGCAAATGAAAAAAAACCCACTTTCCTTTGTATACTAGAGCAGTTTTCAGTATACTTGTTTTCTTTTAGGCCCTGTTCTGAGACCGAAAATACACATCAGCGTGACAGAATATCCACTATGATTTTGTAAAAACTGATAATCTTCTGCCCGTTTCGTTTCAAGTTTCCGTAATCGCTCGGAGTTACCTGTGAATAGAAACTGTTTGGTCATCTTTCGTACACAGAGTGAAAGAGGAAGTGACGGCATTTCTCGGGTGTTCATATGTGCCTATTTATGGTCCTACTTATCGTTATGTTGAAAGGGGCTACAGCCGCACAAACTTATTACTTGATTTTATTTGCGCAAAACGCACCAGATTTATAAAACAGACTTAAAAAAAACTGAATTCGCCCTTATTTTTCCGAAAACAAAGCAATTGCTCGTACATGTATTCATCTGATTTTCATGAAATTTTTTGTTCTCTGGAAAGATATAGTTAAATTATTTTTGGCTCATGTTAATACTCGTTGCTAGTAAAGTATGTATATGTCAGAGATTTTGAACCGCAGCATCCCTTGGATATCAAGAAGAGGTTAGATTTTTCTCAATTCTGCCCAGTTTTTTTTCCTTCAATACACCCATCTGATCAGAAAGCTTTTCTAGTAAACAGTTTTTGCGCCTCAAATCAATTCTATAGACAGCCTGAAGTCTGTGTTAGAGTCCCCTCCTTCTCAAAGTTCGGTGTTCACAAGTTTGGCAAACTACTGTAGAGAGTGCGGCTCATGTATGAAAAATATGCCTCATTGAAAAGAATTTCTCACGCAAGTCGTCACTCACTGTGTCCTCCAGGGAACAGTGATTTTTCCTTGGTAATGGCGAGAACCACACGACAAGTAGACGGTCATTTCCGCCCACGAGCTCGGTCGGTGCGTCGCGTCTACCGCACGCTCTACCGCCCCTCTCTTTCTTAGATTCATATCAACAGGCTGCAACCTTTGATTTCGCCCATAACACGTTGCTATCTTTTGCTTTATCGTCCTTTCTTTCACTTCCGCAGATACCATCAAGATCTCAACTCACTGCCACAACAAGGGCTGCAAAGCAGTAAGTCTTAACACTTTTTTTGTGAACCAACTACATCCTCTCAGCCCCTTGCAGCTACTCAACTTTCTTTCTTTAGCTTTGAGATGATAGTTCAGCCGAGTTTTATGAAGGGAAAGATAGGCAAACTACTTTTGTGGTCGACCATGTCCTCCCTTATTTGCGACTGTCCCTGATGATGAATTCGAACTGGAATCTGTGATACCTCATGTTTCAGTGATTGCATCTTCTCTTGGATGATTTTTCCTGGAACTCACTTGTTCGCTTCTATCAGCAATTTCTTCTCTGTAGTCGTAGGTAGTTGGTGGCCGAACCTCACGCACTTGTATACGATAGGCTATGATCTGATCACCAGTCCGAATGCTGTGTCGTATAGTGCCTCTTTCACAGTGGGGTGACCCGTTAGCGCGTCTGGTGAACCCTTCTGGTTTTTCTTCAGCAACGAAAACCGAAGCCTCGAGGTCCACGAAACACTTCTGTCTTTGAATCGATCGCATTATTTTTGCAAGATAGACAGTGACGGCGTATTTAGGGTAGTAGTAGTGGCATTGAACCCGCGAAGCAGACAACGAGGAACCTGTCACACCACCTCGGCTGTCTTTCCGAATAAGTCATTTGTAAAAAAGTCGACGGCCTCGGTGGGATTGAAACCCACGCCAGTGAGGGGGAAGACTTTATTACAACCAACGCTCTCGTCAACTGAGCTACGGGGTCCCGCCAGGAGCCGTCATTTGAAGCACACTTGGGTCCATTTATCCGGCCGGCCTACTGTAACGCACGGAATCCACCAAGTTTTGCTAAAGCAAGTTAGCTGCTAAAGCAGGATTTCCCAAGCAATCCACCAGCTGACTACTAGGCAGACTTAAGTAGTATGAGGTTTTGGCAAATTTTAATACTTAATTTGAGCAAGTTGTGAAAAACTCGGCGAACTCGGTGGGATTTGAACTTAAAACAACAAGGGGAGGACTTTAATAAAGCCAGCACTCAACCCAACTGAATTACGGGACCCCCACGGTCACATTTGGGCCGCTTTATCCGCCTAGCCTAGATCCACAAATTCTGATACAGCGAGTTGACTGCCCAAGCAGGACTTATTGAATAAACTTGAAGCTCATCAGATTGTCGTAATGAATATGGGCTGTATCAACGGAAACGAAACCTCTTTATTATAAGGATCGTTCTCAGGCATCGGGGGTCAAAAACCGGAATCTCCCTCGCCCAATGCATAACCCAATGTTTGAAAACAGACGGAGCTCTTAAAAGAACAGATTACCAAGTTGGACGAACAACAGCGGTCATAACTTGTCGGTATTGGGGAAGCAGCTTAGTCTAGCGGAGGGGATTTTGGAACTTTTTCGGAACCGAAAAGTATTCAGACCTTTCGCCGAAGTTAAGGTTAGTTAGATCAGGTCTAATCAGGCTACATGAAGTTAACGAAGTAAGGATGTTTTAAGGTTCACGCGTCTGTAAATAACGTCCACCCCCCACTGACAGGATCACTAACCGTCGTCTTTTTGTCCTACAGACATATCTTGGACCCGAGTCGAATAGCGAAATTTGCCTCTATCATCCTGGAGTGGCCATCTTCCACGAAGGGTAAGTCCAACTTCGTCGCACCAGATCAACCTCCCAGTTTTTACGTATTTATAAAAGGTGTACTGTGACCTTTTAAGTAGGCATTTAATAATACATGACAACCACACTGATTGCAGCCCATTAAACGCTTATTTGACAGGATGAAATTCTGGAGCTGTTGTCAACGCAAGACAACAGAATTTGATTCATTCCTTGAGCAGGAGGGCTGCACCTCAGGACGGCACAATTGGACGAAGGAGGTAAGTTGCCCGCCTGCCTGCTGAGACTGCTCTCTTGCCCATTTCTGTCCGTTTCGTAGTAATAATCTTTTTTCAGTTTATTTGGTGAGGATAATAGGCAGTACCCTTGAGAACCCTATTGCTCACATACCGGTACGTCATATACATCTGTGCATGCACGCATAAAATTATCACCATCAAAATAGTATTTTCAAACAGTGAGTAGCATTGTTTTTACGAATAACTCTTGTCTGTGCACTCAGGATGCTGCCGCGACCAATTTGATGCTCTCCCCGGCCTTCACAGAATGTCGGTTTGATTGGTTCCAACTGCCCGACTCTGTCAATATCTCCGTCTACGCCAAGAACACGCTGCCGGAGACTGTAAAAGTCAATTGCAATGGTGTCCTTCTGACAGTCTTCTTTGTCTACGACGCTGGAAAGGCACAGTATGACCGTTCCTTCAACCTCCAAGGGGTAAGATTATTCAGAGAGATTGATTGGTTTATCCAGCCATAGAAGCGATTCAGTCAGCGAGTCATGTAAAACGTGAATGTGCATTTTGGGAGTGACTTTCATCATATACCCTTTCGCTTATGACAATTTTCAGTGCTGCGAATATTCCCACGTTTAATTCGAAAATTCGGTTTGGAAAGCATGCATTTTCAACAACTCTTA